CCCACTCCACATGCAGCCACCACCCTGCCCACATACCCTCCCCCTCCCCCCGCCACCCCATGCCACTGCCACCCCCTCCCCAACAGGCTGGGGAGGGGGTGGCAGTTACCCCGGGGATGCCGGATAACAGAGATTTTACTGTATTTATTTAAAAGGCCCGGTGATATGTAGATCATCTGTAAGCAAGGCTCTGGTACTCAAGCAAGTGCCATTTCATAACACAAATCCTCTAGAACTGACTAATGAAACTCAAGTAAATAGCTAAATTATACATTGCTTGGTATTACTGCGTAAAATATTTTATTACATTCATGCATATTGAAAAGTGATGTGGGAACTGCACATTAATATAGTACTGCATAGAACTGTGAGTTTTCAGGGGAGACATGCAAACTTTTTTGCTCCCTATATTAAATGCACAGGTATATAAAAATCAAAGGTTTTGAAATACAAGAAGCACAAGGAAAAAACCCCTCCTCGTTAAAAAAAAAAAAAAATGACCAGTACCTATTAGGCCTCCTGGAGCAGCATACTGTAGATCATTGTGTTCTGCAAAAAGGGACACAATTTTGGAAAAGATTGGCTTGCACATGAGTTTTCCTTCACTGTCCTTGGAGACTATACCAGGTCTGACCTCAATTTCCTGGCCCACCTGATTATCATGGAGAAAAAAAAATAGATACATGTTTCACTACAGTGCAAGGTTAGCTGTTTTTCAAAATCACAGGTATTTAATTTTTTTTGATACTGGGTTTACAAAGAACTCCCGGGTGTATTCAATATTTACTGAAGGTTCAGCTATCTTCTACCTTCTTTAAGGTAACACTTAAAGTCTAGTTTACTTACAAATTTAGCTAGTATATGGGAGCCAGAAAAACTAATTATCCAAACCAAAGAAAGTACATGTTGTATAAACATCAAGTGTTAAATGTCCCGTTTACTTTCCAATTTAATAGTCAAAGATGCTATTTAACAGCCAGAAACTTTAAAATATTCCCATTGACAGTACCCTTCCCCCCACAAAGAACCTGAATACATGGTCATGGGTACTGTTGGTATAGTGATGGAATGTATAGCTAACACACCCAACTAGCTGCTAATTCTAAATAAAAGTCTCTCTCAAACTCCATCTTTTTTAAACTTTTACCAAACAAACGTGCCCAGACAAGAAACTACAACCCCTCTTGCTGCAAAGCATAAGAGGCACATATGAACTTTGAAAAAGGTCATTGTCATTTCAGAAGCTCTCCATATTGTTACTAGTAATATTTAGAAGATTACTGTGACAAATATACAAAAAGTATTTTGAGTGCTTTACAGCTTTTGTGCAACATCATGTTTACTATTTACCATTTCTATTTATCTTTTACAATAGAAAAGTGGGGAAAAAAAACTTAAGATAAAAATGCTCATGAAATTAGAGTGGCACGTGCAAACATCACCTGAAACTTTTTTTAAATTTTTTTTAATAGTTGGCTATACTAACTCTAGTCTATGCATTACATAAAATACAAAAAGGTTTTGACTGGCCCTAAAGAACCCCCCATTGTGTTCCTGTTCATTACTATAATGAGGTATTCAGAGGTCAAGAAAGTAGCTGCTACCTTTAGTACTCCTTTTAGAATACTACCACCAGCTACACCACCTTTAAGATCATCAACTTCACATCCAGGCTTGTTGACATCAAAAGACCTAATTACTGAAAAAGAACACACACCTCCATTAATATCAGCGCTTGGTAGATAAAATAATGCTGTTCTCTCTATGGCGCTGAATTATATTTGATCGTTTTAATAATGTTGAACACTGGCAAACTAGACTATATATCCCAGCACTTGTAACAGGAAAAAAAAGACTGCTGGTTTTCCCATCTCATTATTAACAGATTGTGTTTGGTATGCTCAGTGAACAAATAGCCTCTAGATTTCCCATGTGCATGTAAAATCCATCTTGTGGAAGTAGGTTTTAAGATGTTGTGAAAAAAAGTGTTAACACTTATGCAAATGTGACATAATATATTGTCACTATTAAAGTGTTAGCCAGACAAGTGATTATGTAAAAATGTCACTCACTCAACATACACATTCCTCACACCTTCAAGCATGTTATTTGCCAACAAGCATTCAACAGCTTGATTTTCATGCAACATTAGTTTGTCAGTGCTTAGAGTAATCTTCATACAAGAACAAATGTGACAAGTCTTTGAGAGGATAAATTAAAAAAACTTTTATATCACATTATAACCACTCCAAGGGCCTGGACATGCAACACATTTACACTAGCGTAATTTACATTCCATCAGTTTACAAAACCAAATTATACAAAGATCTTGAGGGGACAGATAAGTAATCATTCTGGGGTAGCTGCATGCAGAGAACTTCTGGGCTATTACTGAACTTCACCATTAGGTGGCAGTGGAACAGGTAAGGGCTACTTTGGGATAAACTGCAGGCACAATACCTATTGTTACTTACACCAATGAAAGTTTAGCCCAGATTTTTCTCAGATTCAAGTCAGTCACACTGTTGTAGGGCCGAATATTGTATGTCTGTTCTAGGTTTTTTGTTTTTTTTAATGCTAGCGAGAAGGCTGATTACACCAGTGTAAACATGTCACGTGTCCAAGCCCTTAAAGTGACAAAAAACAAGTTCAATTACATAGTTAAATATGTATGAATTACTGCTATATACAAAGTTTCAGCAAACAGAAGCTGCAGTGTACCAAATGCTCCTCTAACACTATTTAAAGCATCTTTCATAATCCTAGTATTGACTTAGGGGACGAGTAGTGCAACATGTAGATTACATTTAAACATTTACATACCAATAAGCCTTGGTTCAGATGTGAAGTCTCGCAAAGGGACTGGAATTTTCTTTACTATGTATTCACAAACTACCTCAATGTTGTATTTCAACTGTGCTGAGATTGGAATAATGGGAGCACCTTCTGCAACTGTGCCTATTACAGAAAAATAAAGTACTTTTATAAACATAGCTGTAGCATTTACCGAAAATATAGACAAACATTCAGACTGTCTTGAAAACCATGAATGGAATTGCAGGGACAATTTATATATTCCCAAAACCAGAAACTTAAAGTGATACAGAAATATCAGGTAGCTTTGTTTTTAATTTTAGCTCAAAGCAAGCCACACTGCTGCTGTTAGTAGCATAATATGGCTCATATTGCTTAAAATTGCTTATGCATTTGAAGTAGGAGACTTATATAGTTCAGGGGTGGGCAAAATGCAGCCCACGGGCTGGATGTGGCCTGCCAAGCCATTCTATCCAGCCCTTGGGGCCCCTAAAAAATTTAGAAAATTAATATTTATCTGCCCCTGGCTGTCTGTCATGCAGCCCTCGATGGCTTGCCAAAAAAACTCAGTAAGCGACCTTCCGCCCAAAATAATTGCTCGCCCCTGATATAGTTTGTTCTCCAAGACAACTGTGAACAGCTTTTTGCTCCAAAGAGAACTGGCTTCATTCTTGATGATCAGAAGTGACATGAAATGAATTCAAAGGATTATTCCAGTCATTTAATTCTAAGGAATGAAATAAGTTTTGCATGCTTTGGGAGACCTACAGAGGAACAGCATTACAGCAAAGTAATAGATTTGAATCCTCCAGTCTTACGATGTAACTTATGACTGGACCAAGTTGCCTTCAATGAAAAACTTTCCTGCTTGTTTGGACTGTAAATAGACCCTAAGTGAGACATCTCTCTCTTCCCAAGTGTTCTGAAAATGAGAACTAGTGCATCTTGACCCTCTCTGTTTGTTCTAGCAGACCCAGATCAAGATGTCCTACCAAAGACAGATCTAAAATATCTGATGTATCATTAGCTATTCTGCAGTAAGGCTGCACTAAAGTTTGCACTTGAAGTAGAAATAAAATTCCCCGTTTCAGACTTAGCTGATTTAGTTTTCAAGACTGGTATAATTTTTTTCAGGACTTTTATACCTTCAGTCAAGTACTTCATTTGCAAAGCAAACATTTAAACAGGCTCTCTTTTGTAGTGACAGCCCATCTTATTCACATGTCAATTTCTTTAAAAACCTCAGTACTCAAAAAAATTCAAACTTTCAACCAGCTTGGACACAGATCACTTAATATGACTGCTCAGATCTAAGCCACATCCATTTGTGATGCTGCTAATTTGCCTCCATAACCTTAGTTTGTACATCTGTCTGTTGAACAAAACAGAAAGGAAGCTAGGAAAGTGATGCTAAAGGAAAGGGGGGAGTAACATTTAGCAGAGCTTACTTAAAAGAAGCAAAAGTAGAGGACGGTCTACAAGGATGTGGCAACTGGGGCCATGGGATGACAGCCCAATTTTATGCCTGACATTATGCCTCTTTCTTTGACTTCCAATGTACTTGAGCAACAGAATAGGAAACCCCTAGACTTAAGATAGCAAGCAGGAGTACAGAGAAGCCAAAATACAAGGTGGGATTTGTAAAATGAAAGAGAGCTTATCACTTTATGAAGTCCATGACTAGACCAGAGACGTACAACAAGCAGCCCAGCAGGGCAATTTCAGCCGTCCACTGTAACTCTTTATTAAACCATTACATTTGTTGCTGCTCCTTAAGCTTCAAAAACAGAAGGATTTGAAAAGCAAAACCACGAGTCAACTTACTGTACTCTTCCCAGATGCAAATTGTGTCCGTCCTGCCTGGTAAAGCATCAATCTTTGCATGCACCTGCCTGTGTGGCTCAGTAACTGACTTGTAGACATGCTGAAGGCTTATGATCCTATAAGCAGTGGCCCTCAAAATGGAAAGCATAACTTGCAAGAGGCCTTCAGAGGCTGAGTTGTATGCTCCTATATTAGACATTTCCCTTTTGCAATTTTTTTTTGTGAAAGGCATTCGTATTCTATAATGATGAACGTAAGTAGTTTGTATTTGAAGTGCCTGAAGCAGAGGAGCAATGGTTGGCAATATGTAGTTAACTTAAGTCAAAAGTTCACGTTAGTTTAGGACCTGGACTTTTACTGGCCAATTTATGTTAGCTGTGGATGTTGCCTGCCTTGTTTCCCCCCCCTAGAGATAATCCTTAAAGGTACTAAATGACAGTTGTTTGGAAGCAAATGATAATGCTATTTACTTCCTATGCATTAGCTAGGAAATATGAAATGCTAGCTTAAAAAAAAAAAGGGGTATGAAATCCTGACTCACGTACAGAATTACTGAATGTGAATTCCAGGTTTTGGAAACCTACCTTGTACAAAAGAAAGAATCTGTTCATACTGCTCTTTAGCCTGGCTCTCCTTTACCAAATCAATCTTATTCTGTAGAATTAGAATGTGTTTCAATTTCATGATTTCTATAGCAGCTAGATGTTCAGAGGTCTGGGGCTGAGGGCACGACTCATTACCAGCTGAAAGAAAAAAGGAAAAATAATTATGCGCATAAATCTATGTTAAGGATACAAAAAGATACCTACTGTCCTACTGTTTAAGAGAATACTGCCAGATAGCTCTCACTCATTTTTGTTTTTAAACTGCCTGCATTTAGCACACTGTTGTTACCAAACTATGAAAAACTGCAATGACAGAACAAAAGACCCATGCAAGTGTATGTTACTCGATTATCCAGAAAGCCACCTTCCTTCCCACATGCCTGATGTGCTGTTGATAACAACAGAATTTACTGATTTTCCAGGAAACATGGCCCATCTATCCACTCAGTATTTTTTCCTTCTTAGGCGACTGAGAGCTAATAGTTTACAGTTCTTTCACACAATTAAAGCTGTAACAAGTCAGGCCTGTTATTTTTGTTTAGTTTCCATTAACTGGTGTTTATTCTGAACATCTAAAAAGGTTTTATTTACTTCCTATCAGTGGCACAACTGCTTTCAAGTCAGAATAGTGACATTCTACCTAGATTAGTTTATTAACATAAGACTGGACAAGATCAGGTACTTTGATTTGGTCCATATTAGCTTTGATTTACCATTTTTACAGACATCTTTGTACCCTGGTACAACTAGCACAATATATTTACATTAAGAGGAACAGAAAATGAGCTGACAGTTGAGGGAAAAGAAAAATGTGCTTAATCTGCTTAAACATCTTCATGATAGAATCTAAACCTTATCTTGCTAGAACAGTGATAATTTCATCTCTGCCCAGGATCCTCTACCATCACATGCATGCACAAGTATTACTGCTTCAGCTACTAAACTAGTCAGCATGCTTTAACTACATGGTAAAAATTAACTTATGAAAGCATGACATTTTTGTAAACACCATACTTCAAAAAATATATTTTTTTAAGTTTTAATGGCATTCACTTTTTGTGTGTGTATAAAATCTGGTTCCTGTTTTTCTTTAGAATAATTGCATTAAAATTAACCCATTGGAATATGATAAAACAGGTTCAACTTTCCATCTAAATATTACCTATCAACAGCAAAGCTGCATCCATGACTGCCGCACCGTTCAGCATAGTAGCCATCAAGATATCATGACCAGGACAATCCACGAAAGAGACGTGTCTGTTGCATAATAAGAAGAGAGAGAAAACCAGAAGCTGATTATCATTAACTGTAAACCAGAACTGAATTCATCATTAATAGGCATAACGATTTAAAGCACATGCAAATAATCTATACACTTCTAGGAATGTAGAAAGGTGCCTTTTGGAACTATTGTACTATTAACATGAATACTACTGAAAATCATCAACACAATCTTTTGAGTATATTGCATAGACTGCAATAACTGGACTATTTCAGGTTCTTGTCTGTATTCAACAGAAGAATCTTTATTCCGTAACATGGCAAGAACACAGCTGTATGCCGCTTCACTGACGATATTAAAAATTCACCAATGGTAAAGAAGAAGTAAAAGAAACTGGTGTGTTTAGTGAACTGTTTTGAGTGTTGGTCTTACAACTATCAGAGCCCACCAGAAAAGGAAAAAAAAAACTATTTTAGAACAACTGCAGAGGTATGAAATATTTTGCAAGCACTCATAACTATCCTACTTAAAACACCACAGATAATCTTCTGCACCTTTTAGATACTGACTCTGACAATATTACATTATTACAATATTGATAATATTACAATATTGTCACGTGAAGGCAGTTCCTTCACAGCATCTGATGAAGTAAACTGCTTCTTATGAAAGTTTGTTATACACCTCGGATTTAGTCTATAAGTTACAAATTTACCCTGCCTTCTACCTGACTTCAGACTAACATGGCAACTACTTTTCAATATTACACTTTGACAAGAATGACTGCCTCATCTCCAATTGTATTCCTAAGACTCACTCCCAAGTTAAGTTTTAAGTGTTCACGAGTCCGATTAAAAAGCCCTTATGATTTTGCAGTCTGTGGGGGAGAAGTTTAAGTGATGCTCTACTCTGAAAATAAACTTTAAAAATAGGTCTATGAATTTCCATGATAACCAATATCTAAGTGACTTTCAGAATTCAGATTACGAGTATGAGAAACAACATTTTATTTAAAAGCCCTGCAAACTAGATGGAACTGTAAAATTAATATTATGCTTTTTCAAGCAAGTAAATTGTCACCAGTAGCAGATTTTGCAATTCAAAGGTACGCCTTCAGCCATATCTGTACATCTTCAAGATCTTTAAAATACCTTAGGACTAAAGTGATAGGTTTATTAGAAAACTCTAAACAAAAGCCTTCTCAGTCATTACAACTTATTCAGTAATCCCTGTCAATGATGAGAAATTGAGATTTGACTCCTCTCTCAACTGCACGGGTTCCAAAGAGTCACCAGGAATCAAAAGCATATGTATCGCTTAGTAAACAGACACACCACAGACATACAAAGAATAAACAACGCTGCCACTTAATTAAACACTTTTATAGGATAGCATCCAATTTCAGGTTTTTAATTGCTGTTTTATATCTCTCTCTCTCTCTCAACAGCAGGCAAAAGTGACCTAAGTTTAGGCCAGAGGCAGGCAGCTGTAGTGGCAGAGGGAGTGTAACCACTGCTGAAGCTCTTCACTGCTGAACACCGAAGCCTCACATCCATGAGCTAAATCAAATGGCTCTGTGGGCCACAGGTTGCCAAACCCAATGTAGAAAAAACTACAAACAAGTCAAGAACAACTGAAGTCATTCAATCTACATCAGCCACCTGACTAATTTAAAGTTCCCTTTGGTCCCAGGAATATCTGTAGGGAACTCATCTGGTGTGCTACTTCCACAAGACCGGTAACACTCTGGTCGGGAACAGCTGGGATCCTCAAGTTTGTAGATCTGGAATAACAGAGAGAGAAACAGGCTTAGGTTACCAGTGGTCAGTCTCATATTTTTTCTCTCCCCCAAAAATAATACCAGTTAATATGTCAAAACAAACAAACAAAGCAGAGTTTCTAGATTTATTGCAATAACTAACCTTAGCATTGGCATAACCCAGCTTGATAGTGATATTTCTTTCCAGTTCATTTTTGAATCGGACAGTATGAACTCCAGATATAGCTTTGACTACAGTTGACTTTCCGTGAGCCACATGGCCAATTGTACCTATATATTAAAAGCAAATATTTGTCAATACATAATTGTTTAATTTGTGCAACGTTCTGCTTCAAATTACCTACATATGTAGACGGAGTACCTGTTAAACCTTCAATATCTAAATTAAGAACTAAATTTGTACAAGGTCACCCATAGCCCCATGAAACCAGCTGGCTCAGAGATTTAATTGTAAGCATATTTAGATTTCTTAACCAGTTTGGGTTTTTTTTTATATCAACATAGGCCATGATCCTGAGATAAGCTCTATATAGACACTCTGGGTACTTACTGTTCAATGATCATTACAGAACCAGGACTATATGGAGCGAAAACAAGTTTCAATTGAGGGAAACTGCAACTCCTACCTGAGACACACTTCTTTGAGAGAATAAGTCTCTCATGCCTAAAACATACACTACAACTACCTTTGAGCAAATAAATCCATGGTGGAACTGTTAACAACATACTACTTTACTTAAAGTACAAAGCTTAGATTTTTATTCAATTTTCTACATTTCATTGAAAAGTTTGGATTTTATCCATAGCATTTTAAAATAAAACTCTGCAGCACTGTGTTAGTTCAAGAGTGTCAAAAACTGTCACATCTATAATTAAATGTTCTTTTTTTACCTATATTAATTGTAGCTTGTCTACTGATGACTTCTGGTGAGAGAGGTGTCAGCTTGGTAACATCCTGTATGGGGCAAAATTTCACAATCTATAAGCAGTGTACATGTTCAGGTACAAGATAATAAAAAAAATGTTCTGTTAAGGAAACCCATCAAAAGTGTTTAAAATAGTTCTAATTGCTCACAGCATTAGACTTCTGGAAGAGGTCAGAAAGGGAATTTGTAAAAATGCCTCTATAATTAACATGTTATTCATGCATATATAATTAGAGAAAACAAAACTAGTAAAACTAATGTAAATTCACAGATAGCTATTTATAAACAGTGGGGAGTTTCCCAAATCCATTTATTCCTATCTGTGTGGCAAAGGAAAGGCATGTAATGGAAGAAAATCCTCTTAGATTAACAAAACTTTTTTATTTTATGGAGTGGTATTTGAAACAGTCCAAAAAATAAAAAATAAATAAAAAAGAGTATTTTGTTTTAAAAGTATACAAAGTTTACTCCTAACATTTTACTCATTACTTTTCATCTCCTTGCACTGTCTGTTCAAGATGCTGAATCAGGGAAACACTTGCATGATTACATACAACAGAGGCCCAGAGAATTTACAGTATGAGAGACATGACCTGTGGCTGTCACTGTGCATCAGAGTGACATGTACAAGTAGACCTTGTCATCACCAAGACTGCTCCGACTGCATAAAGCTACTTCAGAGGCTACAGTCCATCTACCACCTTAGGAATCTGAGAACACAACCAATATATGGAATCCAAATTTAGGAAAGGGCTTGAAGTTTTCAAAAGGGTCTAATATGACCACCTATCCATGCCTATTTGTGTAAAGGCTGGAAGCTATAAGGGGACAGGCTCAGGGGTTAGACCAGGGGAAGGTAAAACATGGCCTGCAGGCTGAATCTGGCCCACCAGGTGATTTCATTCGCCCCATGGCCAGGTGCCTACCAAATTACTGTATCCAGCCCAGCCCTGGGCTGCCCCTGCTGTGCTCACATGGGGCCGAGCACCACTCACTCCTGCGGGGACAGTGCATGCTGCACTCCCACCCTCATCCATTGGACAGTATTGACCCCAGCCCCGCAGGTAGGGAAACAGCGGTGGGTGAGGGAAGTGGTGGCAGTGGCAGGCAGCAGAGGGAGAGGGGGGAGTGGCAATGGTGGCAGCTGCAGCAGGCAGGTGGAGGTGGGAAGGGGTGTGAAGAGTGGAGGTGTAGTGGTGAATGGATGGAATCGTAAGGAAGTGGCAGAAGGGTGGCAGCAGCAGCAATCACAGGCAGGGGAAGGGGTGGCAGCAGCGAGGGGCGGGAGTGGTGGGAGTGAGCAAGAGCAAAGCAGCAACTGGGTGGGAGCTACCTTCCCCCTCCACACACCCCACAACCCCCCACAAACCCCATACCCACCCACACATCACCACACCCCCTCACAATATACAAAATTAAGACTTCATTTGAGCCATTACACAATCACCTCTATGTATATGACACAAACACACACAAATCAGGACAAAAATATTTAATTTGAAATAAAATTAAAATGTTATTGTAAATGTTCAATATAGGGAGGTGCCAAAGTCCCCCACACGGAAGACCTCTGTGACATCACAGTGGTCACCCATGCCTTCCGCGTCCTGACCTGCCCCGACCCAATGGTATCATCGCCGCCAGCGACCTTGAGGAGACCACCTGCAAAAGGATTGCAGGACAACCCAATGGACATGAAGGGGTGGCAGCAGCGAGGGGCGGGAGTGGTTGCAGTGAGCAAGAGCAAAGCAGCAACTGGGTGGGAGCAACCTGCGTCTCACTGGAGGGCGAGTTCAGCAGAGATGGCGGGGACTTTGCCTCGCTGTGGAGCTGAGCCCACAACTCCATGCACCACACCTGGAAGTGCATTGGTTGTGCCTGGACCTGGATCAAGGAGCACTGGGAGTCTTGCTGCAGCCAGCCCCGTATGCCAACCCCGTCACTGTGACGCCCTGCATGAGGACCTTCCTGGAGCAGTTCCTGAAGGATGCCATCCATAACAAGCATGCCGGCGACCCAAGGTCCAAACCTGACCACAGCAAGGTCTTCAACAACACCTCAAAGTGGGACTCCAGCAACCACTTCATGCCAGCGGGAGCTTCACACGTTTCGTGGATGGCACTTCCTCCACCACACCCGCCTCGACTACCTGCCTCTGAACACAGCCATCTGCTTCGGCCACCAGGACAAGAGGTGCCAGCGGCGCGGCTATGCAGCAGAGACCCTCTCCCCACATGCTGTACAGCTGCAGGACACATGCCAGAACCTGGCAGCTCCGCCACAACACTGTGAGGACTGTCTGGTGAAGGCCTTCCTAGCCGCGCCGGGGGGGGGGGGGGGCTCAACCGCACCATCCTGGGCTGCGAGAGCCAGATACGCCCCGACATCGTCATCACAAATGAGGCGGCCAAGAAAATAGCGATCATGGATGTACCATCACCTTCGAGAACTGGTGCCAAGCCTTCAGTGATGCCCAGGCTCGCAAGCAGGAGAAGTACGCCCCACTGGCCAACATCCTGAGGGGCTACAGCTACGACATGACGGTCGACGTGGTCATCGTAGGGATGCTCAGAGTCTGAGACCCCAGCAACGAGAGCATCCTGCATGCCTGCTGCGTCTCCCACCGCTACGCCAAGCTGATCCACCACCTCATGGTTTCTGACACCGCTGGTTGGTCCCACGATACCTATGTCAAGCACATCATGGGCCATCACCAGTACACCGACCCCACCAGACCGGACCCAGAGGGGACCGCCTGAATCCCACTCTGCACCTGATGGACTCCGAGCGGAATCTTCAACAACGGACCACTCCACTCGAAGAGGACCCCCACCATAAGACTCTATAGACTGAAAACCTCTTTCAACCTACCCCCTCCACCATTGCAGACCAGTGTACAGGCTAGTGTGCATCCTTCTTCTTTCTCTCTCACTGTTGCAAACCCCCTCCCTCCCCTTCCCCCACCCCATGTTTAGTTGGCTAACATTGTATTTTCTGTAACCTGGTTGCGTTCTCCTCCTCACCCCCATCCCCCATATGTTAGTCAGTCACTCAGGCACTCTGTATTTCCCTTATGGCTTTGTCATCTTTTTGGGTCATGACTCATAACATTTACCAATAAAATTCAATCTGTTAACTTGTTTTTTTCAATTCCAAGATGGCAAACCCCCTTGCCAAAAGGAGTATGTCTGGTGGTAAGGGGAGGGGACTTCCACTGGCAGAGGGCAGGGGTTAGGGGGTAGGACTTCTGGTCCCACGATGATGATCAGGGCTACCCTTGCAGCCCTCAACAGCTCACCAAAATTTGTTAAGCGGCCAGCAAGTGGAAGTAACTGCCCACCTCTGGGTACCTGCCAGACCTAACCTTTTATACTTTTCTTCCCCCCCCCCCCCCCCCCACCCCCTTTTTTACCTTTTGTCTTCCTAATTTTCAGCAATTTACTTTTTCCACAAACAGCCTCTTTTCTACCTTGGAAAACTACTACAGTAGAATCTCCCTTACTTACCTTCCAGGCTTTTTTCCCCTTGTTTCCCCACTCCCTTCTCTACCTTTTGTTTTCCTAATATCCCCCTATTTACATTCTCACTGACATCCTGTCACTTCTAGCTTCTCTAATTCCTTAGTCTCAGAAGAGCACAGACTCCCTATGCCTGAAGAAGGGTAACTATGCCCGAAAGCCTATAAAGAACTTTTTTCCAACTACACAGTTGGTCTAATAAAAGCTATCACATCTACCCAAAGACCCTTGCCTGCCTATGTGCTTAGAACAACACGGCTACAACCAAAAACCCAGCACCTCTGGGTTAGACTCACTGAGTGGCATGAAGCAAAAGCAAAGCAGCAGAGTATGTAAGCAGCACCAGCAAGGTACAGAAAACAGAATTAAAAGGTCTTATACTCTGATCCCACAAACTGTGCAATCTCTTATGTTCTTTTTACTCTACAAATAACAAGGCTGGCTGGTCAGAACCAGGAAATATATAGGACCCTTTTGAGGTGGGCGAACAAACTACTCCTGGAGGAGAATCAGGGACTTCATGCCAACAGCCTTACATAGGTGTATGGCAAAACTAAAGAGCATTAAAGAACATGGTCGGGAGGCAGGAAGAGGCAGTCTGAAGTCAGTCTGGAGGCCAAGTAGTGTACAGACTAAGAAAGATAGAGACGTCAGGTGAGGTTCCCCTGCTACTATAGTTTACAATAGATGGTACTCCTTCCCACTGTTAACGCCGAGTACTAGGTGGCGCTTAATAATCTGGCAACCTCTAGGGTGGGCTCTGGGCAGAAGAGCACCTTAAAGGGGCTACTAGTCTTATCCCTGGCAAAGGAAACACTACAAAAAGTTTGTGGAACTGAGGCCTGTTCCATGGTAGGGAAGACTGGGCTCTTTAACCCTGGCCAGCAGCTAGTCCAGGAGTGGAGCTGCAGAAAAACAGACAAATGGATGATGGTCCAAACGTATGGGCACTTGCCTCCCCTTTGGATTAAACCAGCAAGGCCAAGAGGGGAACATCGGTGTGCAGGAAACTCAGCGTCTGTGCCTGGAAAGGTCATGCCAGCTTTGTTTTTATCTTTCTATATTCAGCAAGCATATTCCTCCCTCAGTGCCATTCTGCCTTGTGAGACAGGCAGACACCTACTACTCTAGCTGGATTCAAAAAGGGACTGGACAAATTCTTGGAGGGAAAGGGCATCAGAAGATATTGAGCATGGCAGTCAGGAACACAGCCTCTGAAATGGAACTGCCTAGACCTTAAATGCAGGAGGCTGCAAGTGAGAGAGGAACAGTGGAGAAAAAAATGCTCATCATACCCAGCCCACTCTCCCTATCAGCATCTGCCCCTACCGCTGTGTGACACTGGCCTACTGTGTGTCCCGAAAGATGGTGGGCTTAGGCCCATTGCCAAGTACTACTGTATTTTATGATGGGGCTAAGCCTGCCATCTTTCAGCACATCCAGTAGGCTGGTGCTCCGACGCCACTGTGGCACCAGGATCAGGAAATATATAGGACCCTTTTCAGAGGGGTGAACAAACTACCCTCAGCGAAGCATCACCCCACCAGCCTTACACATGCCTAGGGCAAAACCAAAGAGCGTTAAAGAAGATAACATGGCGGGGGGCAGAAGCAGGAAGAGGTAGTTACCCGTGTTAGACTGAAGTCAGTCTGGGGGCCAGATACTATACAGCAGCAGTTCCCAATCTGTGGTACAGATACCACCAGTGGTATGCGTTAACAGGCTTATTTTAATTACACTATATGACAAACATTTGCTGGCAGTACTTAAGGTTGTATTGGTTTAAATTGGTGGTGTGCAATCTGTCAGAGTTCGGGAACTGCTGCTGTAGAGACTATTAAGCCTCCCTTAAGAAGAGACCCCAGTGGGGGACACATCAACAAACTGTGCATAACACAAGAGCCAGGACCCAGGGTCTGACCCACGAAACGGCAGTCCCTATGCGCGCCTAAATACGGTAGATGCACAACGGAGCAGAAGCTCTCCTCAATCCAAGCTAGCTTCAGCAGCTGTAGGAGGAGGATACTGGGGGGAGGGTGGGGCGGGAAAGGGATGGCTATGGGGGGAGGAAGCGCAGGTGCCTCTGCCTGGCCTACAGGGCTGTATGGAAGCGAGGCAGCCCTAGCAGAACCCCCCGCATGAGCCCAGGCAGCGAAAGGCGACACAGCACCCCACCTCCCCTCGAGCTCCGACCCCAACCGCCCTCCCTCCCAACCACCAACCTCAGCCCCGGCCTCACCAGGCTGGCGAGGTC